ACAGCTCAGGATGATAAGTGGAGTGCAGAGAGTTTATGTTTTTGTTGTTGGTATCCATTGTGTGTTTTTTTTTTCTGAAGGCATATTACTCACAGCTCTTCTAAGGTGACCTCTGCATGTTTGTTTTGTGATGACATGGTTTGTGTGTCAGGCTGAAGTGGCAGAGACCTGTGGTATGTTGGGTCACAGCATGTTTGACATGTGACTTGTTTGTGAGGCTTTATGTATTAGTTTGTAGCCGGACGGACGGGTGATAATTCCATCTCAGCAGCAGCTGAGTGGACAGGAGGGACAATAGAATATTTAACCAAGACGTTATTTTACTCATCACAAGACTGTTGTGAGAGTAGTATGTTTACTCATTACACAACTCTACAACTCTAATTGGCTTTGGTTGAAAAGCTGTGTCACTGAGACGCTGCGTATTTGCTTAAGAGACAAAAGCTCAGTGGTGGAAATGGTATTTCTGAATGATTGGCTCATCTATTGTTTGCAGCACATACCTACAGTACATTACACGCCATTACGAGATGCTTCTTATTTTCTCAATAAACACAGAAGATTCATTGAACATTTAGCAATAAAAACAGTTTATTAGCATGTGAGCATGGTGCTACGGTTAAGACCACATCAGAACTAAGAGGAGAGTCTTTTGAGATCAAGGTTTTATGTGTTTTAAGTAAAGTTGGGCAATTATTATTGGGATATCCAAAAATAGCTATGATACTGCTTTGAATACTGTCCTCAAAAACTCTGTTTAATCCCAGTTGTGCATGAATAAGTTAAAACAATGTAATAACATTTGTTTGCGGGAAGTGTACTTCCTGTGCACTCGCTGCATTGCATGCACGATCTCTTAGCTCTCAAAGTTTGTGTTGGAGAGGATTCTCAGCTACTACCACATCAATTTTTAGCTCAATATTTGCAAAAATAAATTTTTACTCATAATTGTCTTGGCTAAGGTTGACATTCTGGAGCAACCATCTTGAACTGGGGTGATTTCAACAGTTTGTCAGCTGTAGATGGTTCTATGATTATTTTCTGAAAGATTAATTTATCATCGTTAGATATTTGGCTAACAGATAAAACAAACACAAAAACAAATTATGTGATCCGTCACCACCACCCATACTACTATATACGACTACATATAGTCATACTCAGTGACAGCTTAGTGTTGTAAATTAACCTAACATGCTTGCTTTTGTTCTGTGAGAAAACCAGAGGAACCAAAAAGCCATGCGTACTGTAGGATGACAGCTCTAACCACTTCACCACCATGCTGTTTGATCAAATGTTCTAAACTGCATGCATGAAGAAAATGACATCCTAAGCATTCCTGCACACATATTGCATCTCACGTCACCTTCTGAGAAATCTTAATATTATTAAAAAAAAGGTTCAGTAGAATGCACACCATCCCTTGTTGAGGCAGTTAATGAATCACATTTTGTTCCTTTATTCTACCTCTTAGTCCTAGACCTACATTTTTACGTTCCCAATAAGAACTCAGAGTATTCCACTTCTCCGTTCAATGAACCAACAAACTGAAAATTACTTGAGCACAATTTAAATGAAGTTTAATAAGTGTGCAACTTGCAAAGAAACTCAATATGTCAGTTTACATACGTAAACACAATGTACTTACTGTAGTTGCAACTGACATTTTGAGGTCTTGTTGTTCATTTTTTGTATTATATTCTTGTTTCTGCAGCACATAAAACTAATGGTTTTCATGTTGATGTGTATTGTAAATTATCCAGGACACTGGATAATCAGGAAACAACTCGTGATGTCTTGGTTTCGGGTGTGAATGTCGTGTTCTGTGAGGGAATATCTGAACCACAATCTCTCAAATTCAAGGCTAATTAGACACTTGAAGACAAGGGGCAGGGGGAACACCAAGAAGATTTTGCATAGTTTAAAACCTATCAGAGCAATAAAATACTCTGTTTGGGAGCCATTTGACTCCTAAAATGCAATTATGCAATTCTGAAATTTTTTTGCATTTATTGTATATTTATTTGGAAGGATAAATGCATATTGAGAAATCTCTGATAAACATTGAAAAAATGAAATTTAGTTTTCTTTTTTTATTAAATTCAATAGAAATGGAAATTTGTTAGGTTAAATTTCAATCTCAAATAGCATTTTCTTTAACCGTTATAATGACTTTATGCAACAATATCAAATCATTTCTGTCATTTTTTATTGCCAACATCAACCCTTCATCTCTCCTTTTTGGTGACTGACTTGTTTTAATCACACAGTATTTGCCTAATCAGAGTGTTGAATGAGTGATGAGTTTTGCCAGTAATATTTATATAAACATGCATCTATTATCACACTCCTGTCGGTTTATATCTGCTGAATAAAGATTAAAAAGATGTTAAACTCCGCTTTAATAAAGCTTTTCAGGTTTTGTGGATCTTTTCTGAATGCCCAACTTTTCTTGTGTCAAGTGGAGCATCGGACCGAAGCAGTCATTGGCTAACCTCAGATAGTCCAACACACATTTCCACATGGTTGGATGAAATGAACTCGGTGCCCTCTGCAGTCAGACTGTTGTGTTTAGTTAAATTCGGGTTGAGCGGCAGCTACAATCCAAACACAGATACTGAGGTTTATTTACACACCATCATTCCTCTGGACGTCACAAACTGCATCACAATAGGACTAAAAAAATGCAGAAGATAGAAAACAAAGACTGGTTAAACGGTAATTATTGGCTGAAGGATTTTCTGACTAAAACTGTTCCAGAGAACTCGATGACCAGAGCTTTTGATCAAAGCGGGCGGTTGAGCCGCAGAGGATTTGATCAGTTTTTTTAAAGGATGGGAATTTTAATCAAAGGAAGCAAGAAGAAAAATGAGCTGCAACTTGTTTTTATTTTTTTTTTCATTAAACTGTTGATTTTTCATTCCTTTTTGCAAACTGGGATTACTGAAAATAACAAATCTTTATAAGAGCCCAAAGAAAATACCAACGTCTCAGCACAGTTGTGTTTTCTTTGTGTTTATCCTTTCATTTCTTAGGTTGAGTCACAGTCATCGTCTTATCGTGAACATGCTTCAGCCTTAACTCACCATAAGTCCTAAAAAACTGAGTAAATATTTCAGACAGTGGTTTCACTCGGCACAAATACTTTCCCAATTTTCAGTCTAAATTCCTAAAATTTTGACCTAAACGTTCGCTTTTCTTTTCGTAAATAAACTGAGGTGTTGGTTTATGCTACATTCACACCAAATGCATTTTGAGCAGCATAAAAACACCCAACGCCTCCAGCTGGACGCACTATGTTCAGACTGGGACACAGAGCAGACACGCGTCTGAAGAGGGAGAAGCATCTTGTTTTTTTTCCAGTCTGTCCTCGGCGGATGAAATAAAGATAAAACTAGAAGCACTCGGAGTGTGCAAACCTCTGCCAAGTCCAATTCCCCCCATCCTGTAATAGAGTAAATGCACAAAAGCAGAGATGGAAACACATTTGCAGAATAAGTTGTGACGTAGCGAACATTTAAGCAGGCAGTATGCACAGAATTTCTTCCCTGTGGAGTCCAATGTGGGAAATAAAAGAAAGTCAGACTCGTCACCCGACGTTATTCATCGTGAAACTAGTGTTGGATTAAGCTCCTAAGTTTTCATCAGTCACATTTCACCGTGTAAAATGTCTGTTTTATCCCCTTGTATGAGTTTGTAATGGTTTGACTCTCTTTATAAAGTGCTTCCAGGTACAGTCACTCTGGAAGTGAGTGGGTCAGCGCGACCGAAAACATTACCTCGCCCCTCGTCTCATTTAAATAATAAAAATGAACAAACAACCTCTGAGTCTGAAGTCCATCACACCTGTGCGCACTCCTCTTCCTCGTTCTTCATCGATCTGTTTACAAGCCTACGACAATGTGGTGTGTTTGAGGAAATGGGAAAAATGGATTTCATGGTGCAGTCACGCACTTCCTGGTCAGAAGACGTTCTCTAAATGCACACCAAATGCGTAAAAATGTGCACATTACGGCACATCTAGTTTTAACATTACTCTTATAAAGTTTGAAGTCCGTGCTGTGTAATCCAGTTCAAATGAACATTGAATGCTCTCACTGATTTTTTGCAGAAGCCCTGTCAAAGCATCGCAGCTTTGCCGATCTGAGAGGATTAACAGAAAAATAAATTCCTGTATCCGCATCGTGATCCGGAACATCACCAAAATTTATTGGTGTGTTACTTGGGCGAGTACCCACATGTGTTGTAAATGTCATGACAATCTGTCCACAAGTTTTTTGAGTAATGTTGTCCACAGACAGGCCAACCTTTAGACCAACAGACAGACAGACAGACATACGCGACCGAAAACATTACCTCCTTGGCAGAGGTAATAAAGAAAATGGTTTTGATTGATTTACTAAAGAGCAAGCGAACCTTGTGCACAGCAGATAATTAACTCACCAGATGATTTAGAGGCAATTTGTTCGGTGCGTTTCGCCACTCCAAAAGCTGCCAGCTAATGGACTTTTTCGTATTGTTTTTTGTCCCGAGCAGCTGACCCACATCGGTACTGATATATCCTGCCAGAAAATCCAACTGCAGACGGTCGATTTCAGCTAAAGATCTCCTGTCCGTCTGTTTCAGGTTAGTGGGCAACATTCAGGAAACTATCACGTGGAAAAATGAGTCTCTCTGATTGGTTGTCAAGATGCGTCGAGCGACGAAAGCTCAGATTTTTAAACTCTGGCGTCGGCTGCTGTCAACGCACCTCATTCACGCACATTCCTTGCGTGCTGCGCCAAACGTACGTGACGCGCCGCACGACCCCTAGAGGCGCGTCCACCATACACTTTGCATGTAAACTGGCTGCTCCTGAAGCTCAAAATGTGTTTGGTGTGAATCCACCTTTATTCTTGATGTTCCTGCTCGTTTCTGGAATGAGGAGCAAATGTTCTGCTGGTTGCTGTTCACTAAAAGCTTTTTTACAACTTGATCCATGAGGCCAAATTAAAGAAACAATTTAAATTAGAATTTTGGTGATACGCGAGTTTTGTTTCTGAATGTCTACATTTGTATTGTTTTTAGGGATGTTTAGCAAAACATGAAGAAGAGACGGTAACATCAGAAGGGAGAAAAACAATGCCTGAATGAGAAAAGAAAAACAAATGGTAATTGTCTAATTTCACCTCAGCGGTTGCCCTTTGAACTGACCTCTGACCCCTGGTATGTGTGTGTGTGTTTGTGTGTGTGTGTGTGCAGGTTTGTGTGACAGGGTTCATTGAGTCCATCTGGATGCTTGGTGGCCTGGTGAAGCTTTGTGACTCCCATTGTATTGTATCCTGGAATAAACTCCTGGGACTATGGGCAACAATGGTCCCAGACTATCAAAGAGTGGAAACACACACATACAGTACACACACATATACACACATATACACGGACTCACACATTTGTTCACCCAGGAGCTGGTTGAAATGAACTCTTTGCGCTGACTTTGGTCTGCTCTGTTGTCTACAGTCTCCTCAGTAATAGGGGTTTGGGTGATTGTCTGTGAGAGTTAATGAGTTTAAAGCTCAGGGCCGAGCAGACGGTGGGACATACGCTCTATCAGATAAGATAATGGTGCTTCTGCGCTCTGCCTTTCCTGTTAATTGTATACTATCTTCTCTTTGATCTATGGATGTGTGATTGTGTAGTTAGAGCTCTTTTTATTTTATTTTGGAAGATCTATTTCATAGCCAGAAAGCAAACATTGTGCTGATTGCCACTGATGCAAAGGGTTTTAAGTTGAAACATGTTACTGTTTTAGGTTCACATATTTTTTTCATCATGTTTTTTTTTTTTTTAGCATGGCCATGTTTAAAAGAAGGCTGGAGGCCCTGCATACTCCATCTGAAGCAACAAAATGGGCTCTTGTTGATGCAGTTATGTGACCAAATTTGTGTCATTTTGCCCACCCCTTCTCAACCCAAGGCCAGGGCTAAATCTCATAGGTGACTGGCGAGTTTTGTGTGATTGATCAGAGGTTTGCAGGCGTGTTTTATGATGTAAAAGAAATTGCTCATACAACAATGATGACATTTTGCGCCAACTACTCTACTTCTAGAAGCTGGCTGCATTCAAACTAGGGCTACACAATGTATCGCAAATGTATTGTCATCACAATAGCATCCTGTGCAATAGGCATATCGCAAGAATTGGTAAACTGCAATAAATGGTCTGCTGATATGTTTGTGTTTTGTTAGCATTATAAAGGAGAAGCCACATTGGACAACTGCAATAAGAGAAAATGCAGTTGGATTTAGGTTTGTTAGCTTTTATTTTAAATTCTTCAACTTATTTTCAGATATTTTTCTTATTTATTTTATTTTTCAAACTATCAAGTGGTGTTTTTCAGTATTAAAGCATCAGAAAATGTTCAATGAGGGAGATGTTTTAAAGTCATTAATGAAACGTACTGCGTGCAGTTTGTTGTTTCACGGCTACAGCAGCTGTCTAGTTGCACTTTTTAAAAACAAGTAGAGTTGAAATGGAAATTATTTATTAGTTGTTTTATTGCTCTGAATCCAGAGCAGAAAGACTTCAACGCTGCATATTTAAGTATTTGTTCTTTTAACGCAATATTACGCATCATTCGAGTACATCGCAGGTTTTTCTGACGTCGTGCAGCCGTAATTCAAACAACCTGGATAGTTTTGAGAACCATTTGTCCAAGGCAGACAGAAAGTATGTCCATCTGTATGATTATTTCAGTCAATGTCTTCTGGATGGACAGAGCACAGATATTGTGCACAGAGGAATCCATCTGCTGAAAAGTTCTATCTGTGACAGATTTGAAGCCCAGTGGCGGGTATTTGAGTGGAGACTCCAGTGGGAAGAAACTCGCTCTGTGACGTGTACAACAATGGGAGGAGCTCTACATGGGGACGAAATGCGTGTAGGGAAACAAAAGTCTCGCAGCCATGTGACCGGGAGTTGACTTGTCGGCTTTGGATCAAGTTTGCTGGACCCTTTGGGGTGGCATGCGGCACAGTTGTTAGAGTTAACTGCTAAATTCTCACAGCAAGGTAGTCACAGATTTGCCTTACTGGTGTCAGCAGGGTTCCTAAAAAATATGGAGTTTGATTTTAGTTTATTCATGCCTGAATAGTACCCACATTCCTTGCACAGGTTTTACACCAAAGATTTAAGCAAAAATACTGGAGAAAGTTTAGTGCTTACGGTACATTATCTTCTGTGAATGACTCAGTCAATATCACACCAAATTTAAAATCTGTAAAATGGGCTAAGATTTAGAGATTTTATGTGTTGGTTTTGCTTAGCTGTGGTGGCCATCTTGCATTAGGTTGACTTCAAAAGTTGCAGACTTGCTGTGAGGATTTGGCATGAACCGATCCAGGGTGCAGGCAGGTTCCAAAAGTTGAACAAAAATTTATTTTAAATAACAAAAAATGCTGTAGAGACAGCTGAACTTACAGGAGGCACGAGGATCACACAGGCAGGGGGAACAAAGCACAGAGAACCAGAACCAACACATCAAACACAATGATCCGACACAAGACTTCTTCTTCTTCTTCTTC